GGATAATTCATTTTTTCATTTTTGATTTATTTAGAATTTATTTTTCAGTTCTCTTCACTGTTAGATACAAGCTTTTTCCACATAGAATATTACAGAAAAGTAAATATTTCTGATTTTTGATCTCTCTTATTTAGGGACTCTATATTCAAACAAGGGAGAGATTACTCGCATTGCTCAATTGTGCAGAAGATTACTGTTTCCCTGCAAATTTCCTAATTGGCATGAAGGGCACACGATAATCCACAACCTTATCAAGTCACACATGTTATCACAAACATCCAACCAGCAAAAAGTGAAACAATCACGACCAATTTTCCCTCAGCACTATTACTGGATTATTTCTCTCCATGCATATATCATTTCATTTCATATATAAGGTAAAAATATAGCTTTTGGAATAAATACCTTTTATAATTGTAAGACTGTCAGACAATACTTGTTATATACTTTTCATAATACTTTGTTTACATGTACTTGGCTGGATTCACAGAAGAATACACATGTTTAACTCCATGTTGAGCAAAGTTATTTCATGTAATTGTCAGCCAGATATTAAATCGTTCAACATCTGGGTAACGCTGGATTAAACAGATTTCCATAAAGATGTGTAGGCACAGATGACCAAACACTTTGCTCAGCACAGGTTTGACAATCCTTCAACTTTGAGTGAAAGGAACCCAAGTCTCCTTTTTTTATCTGTAACTGTAGCGCAGAGATTAATTAATGCTACATAGAAATGTGTGCTATTGTTTAAACCATCTGTAAAAAGATTATTTTACGTATTTTCTATAGTTTTCTTCAAATATGTATATAAACATTTTTATAATACGGTAAGAGTCCCAATTAGGCTCCTCATCTCGATTTAGCTTATGTGGAATTGATGGTGACTGAAATCACAGCAGAATAGAATAGAATATAATTTTGGTGATGTATCAGTAAAGCAAATAAGGTCATTGTTGTGGAAAATTAATAAAAATGGGATGAAGTTAGAGATAAGTAAACCCTTAATATTTATAACAAAACAGTTAGTTGAAATTGTCCTAGGAATCCTCCAGAGTTTGATTATTTGCCTGAAGTTGTTCCCCAAAACAAAGGCGCTGATTTTGTCCTGCAGATTAGATCGTTACATTTATTGGCACTCTGGGTAAAAGTATGCAAAAATCCTTCAAATAAAAGGATCTTTAAACACATTAATATATTCTGACACAAAAATGAAAAACAAAAATGAAAAAAAAAAGTGTTTATGTATTTGTACTTTTATTGAGTTGGTGGGATATGGGGGGGGACGGCGATCCTGCTTTAGGGAAATATTGTTTTATAACTAAATGGTAGAGATGCCCTTTTATGGATCTGTCACCAACCTTTCGTTTATAAACCCTTGGGGATACCTCCCCTCCCCCCCAAAACAAGGTTAAGCAAGTCTAATAAAAAATCAATGTATGGATATGAATTCTTTGTGCCACAATTGTTACTTCTCCTAACTTTAACCATTTTATATAATCATTGAGCCTAAGGCTTTCTCTAGATAATTACTGTTTAAATTTCTTAAGATTGGCTCGAACCCTTAACTAGAAATCAATCCCTTTCTGTTTTCCTTGGCTATAAATATGTGACACAGGTGTGACAACTATTGAGCACCATCCACATACCAACCAGATGTCTGGAGGTGATGTCAGCAAAAAAAAAATATATATATATATATTTGTTACCTTTCAAAATGTGACGTGAGATGTTTGCTATAGTCTCCTGTGGCAGCAGGACCAATGTGCTTAGCTCAGATAAAAAAAAAAAAAATCATCTTATTTTGCAACAATTACACCATGATGGTCAGACATGAAAAAGTGGATGAATGTATGAAAAGGTAGCCCATATCCACTGTTAAATATAGATGAGGGACATATAATGCCATGTCAACTCTTTGGAACACCGAGACTTTACAGTAGCTGTCAAGGACTGGTGGCCTCTAATGGAAAACTGCAAATAAGTTACACTGCAAAAACGTAAAAATCTATTAAAATATGCGTATTTACCGTTAATTTGAGTTTGCGTTTGTTTGTTTTTTCCTATTTTAAATTGTCTTATTCCATTCGCAAAGTGTTTCACTTACCTGCTCAATAAAAAAAATGCACTTATTTTAAGAAAATTTACTTACTTAGATTTACATTTTTGCAGTGTAGCATGAGATCTTTATAGCAATGATCTTGAAGATTCGACGTTGTTTATCAGGTCCTAAATCCACCTTTACACATGTCCTGCTTAGATTACTACTCAAAGATCCCTCTTATTTTATGAAATGTGACAAGAAAGGAAGTGCCCTCCAGTTTGCAAAGGGGAAATGTTCCTGGTTTTATCAATCAGAGGTTCCAAGAGTGATATGATACTAAAAAGCTGTAAAATTATGCCACTGCAATTACAATAGGATTTATTTATAGGCTTTTCACGCATTTTTACTAGTGTTGCACCGATACCGATACCAGTATGGGACGGGGCCCCGATACTGCCCTAAAATGGTGGTATCGGCGAGTACCAACAGAACCGATACCATTTTTAGAGCCATAAGTTTATTCAACTATTGTCACCCACTCCTGGTAGGCAATAAAAAGATCTACTGGATTCACTTTGTATTAGAATTTTTCCTGCTTCACAAAGGTAGGCAACACCTTGACAAAGCCATGATGGCAATTATTTTACATTATCATGGTATCGGCCGATACTGCACAGCCAGGTATCGGGTATCGGTATCGGGGCCAAAAAATGGCATCGGCACAACACTAATTTTTACCAGGAATTTATAACTAACAAGGAGAATGAACTAATTTATCATACCGAAAGCATTAACTGAGGTAAAAAAAAACAATTTTAAATCAGTGTATTGTTTTAATATTTGCTGAATTGTTACTTTGTTATCCCCTTTGATTGTGTAAACATTCCAGAATATTTGGCATCTTCTGTGGTCATTGGAGAAGGAATGTTTCATTGTAAACGTTTCATTAGACCACACTCCAGCATTGAAAAAGCCTCATCAGAAAAAAAACAAAAAAACATTTATACATGGAAAATAAAACCTCGGCTCTAGAATGATAACAAGTATCCAATTAAGGCTATATCATTGTCCCATCGCCTTAACGATTTATGAATAACAATATATTATTTTTTATTGCTTCTTATTGCAAACAAAACTCCCTGCTGAGGATTTTAATTTGTCAGATTAGATTTCTCTAAGTTATCGATACAACCTCATCAACTAAATTTTCTACTAGATGAGTCCTGCATCCCCTCACCATCACAGGGAAAAAATAAAAGACTCTCTCTCTATAGATATTTCTACACATACCCCAAGAGCTTGTGACTTTGCAAACATCTGATGTTAGTTTTGTCATCCGTGCATGATTAGTAAATGTTGCTACATTTTGTTTTTCATTTGATCGCATCACAACCAGGTCAACATTCATTGTGCAATCAGTATGTTCGGCATACATGATTAAATTCCAAATCAAACAAATCCAATCAAACAAACAAACCATAATGATTTTATATATATATATATATATATATATATATATATATATATATATATATATACAGTAGCAGCAATTAGAAATGGCCCTTCCCAGTCGAACGGCAGCCAAATGGCAGCCCACTTCCCTGCAAAATCCAGCAAAATCCCCCCAATTTCCAGCCACAAAGTGACCCCCTCCTTCTCCTGGGCGTGCATATTTTTTTACTCAGACTCCCCTTTTTTACTAAATTACTAGGTCTGACCAGGAGATGAGGCTTCTCCGTAGATCGTAATGTCCAGAAATCATGAGAGAAAGAATTTTTTAGTACAAAGATTGATTTTTAACAAGGAATTGTAGGGGACCAGCCAAGGGCAAAGGAAAGTGGGGAAATTTTGAATGGCTACTACTGTACGTATATATACAGTACAGTGAGGAACACATGTATTTGAGTACTCCCACTTAGAAATCATGAAGGGCTTTGAAATTGTCAACGTAGGTGCATGTGTGAGCTGCGTAGGTGTGAGCTGGCCTGGTCTCGCCTAGGGGTCGCCCCAGAGCAGCTGGGGCAGGTGTGTGGATCGGGAAGTCTGGGCATCTCTGCTTAGACTGCTACCTCCACCACCCAGCCCCTGCCCCCGAAAACAGATGGAAGGATGGATGCTGCATGTGCAATGCAAGAGACATAATCCAAAAGCAGAATACAAAAATCACAATTTATGATTTTTTTTAAATTAATTTGTAAGATATGGCAGCAAATAAGTATTTGAGCACCTGTCTATCAGCTAGAATTCTGACCCTTAAAAAGTCAAAAAGTCAAAAAGTCCACCTCCTTTCTATTCATCATTCTAAATTAGATGCACCTGTTTGAGGTCGTTAGCTGCATAAAGACACCTGTCCACCCCGTACAATCAATAAAAATCCTACTACTAACATGGTAATATTTACAGAAATACTTTGGTAAATCTTCTTCTGTGCATGTGTGGATCTTGTGTGGTTGCGTCAGTCATTCTGTGTGTCTGTGGATCTTGTTCTTTATGAGTGTGGATATTCTTGTGCATGTGTGGATCTTGTCCTGTGCATACTGAAAATTGAGACCGATCTAGCTCCATAAAAAACTACAGGAAACGTTTGACCTCTATAATTGCAAATGACTACTGTACCAAATATTAATATTGATTTTTTTTCAGGTGATCAAATACTTATTTGCAGCTTACAATACAATATACAAATAAATAGATAAAAAAAATCATATATTTAATTTTGTTTTTTTTTCTTTAGAATATGTCTCAGACATTGGACATGCACGCTAAGATGACAATTTCAGATCCATCAATGATTTCGAAGTGGGAGAACTTGCAAAAGGGCAGGGTGTTCAAATACTTATTTTCCTCACTACTGTATATATACATGTATATATATATATATATATATATATTTTTTTTTATTAATTTTTTAATTTTTAATATTTTTAATAATTTGAATTTGATATACATATATTTATATATATACACTCACTCACACACACAGGTACTCACTGTGCTGTTTGGTGACAAGGTGTGAATCACACTCAACATGGACAAGAGAAGGAAAATGAAAGTAGTGGTCGAAGAGATTAGAAATAAATAACACAATGATAGACAACGATGTTAACAGTAAAGGCTAGGACCATTTCCAAGCAGCTCTTTGGACAATAATTTTACATATACTTTTACATATTATTCAGAAATGTAAGATTCATGAGACTTTAGTCAACCTCCCTTGACGTGGCCACAGGAGGAAAATCTATGTGCAACAAAATCTTCAGTTGAGAATATAAAATGTTTTGTGCAGGCCTGTTTCATGATTTTTTTTTTTTATTCTATTCAGTATCATAGAATTTATTATATATTACTAAAATTTTATATATATTCTATATATATTGTACATTACTTTTGTCAGATTAAAATTATTTCTGCGACTATTGTGGGTATTTCTTTTATTTAAGGTGGGGTACCAACAATTTTGTCCAAGGGAACATTTATTAGAAACAGACACGCACACACACACACACACACACACACATATATATATATATATATATATATGTGTGTGTGTGTGTGTGTGTAATACTATATTTAAAACAGCCAGTATGGAGAGTAACTGTGTTAGCATGCAGCTCAGTACAATCTCTTGACTTTCTCAGCCTTAATATATTGTTATAAAAATACTAAATATCATTTTTGACTATACCATTTTTCTTCAATAGTTCACAAATAATTAGCACTAATGAACCACATGGAAAAACATGAGCACTGTGGAGAAGTGGTTCAATATTCAATGTTACTTCTTTTATAACTCCTGGTTATATAGTCTCCTCTTGAGTTCGGTGGATGCATATATACTGTACACATACACAGTAAAAAAGGTGCAGTAGAAAATACAGTCTTTGTTTGTATGATCATAATATGTTAGAATAACACTCTGTATATTATATGCTCTCAGTAATGGCTTATGTCCAACTATGAAAACAACAATGTCAATGGCGTTAAAGAAAATAGAAGCAATGTTATATTTAATATTTTTGGAAGGTAGATCATGTGCTTAGTATTTTGCTTTCAGAATAAGTTTATATTAAGATGCAGCAGTTCAGAGGTTTCCCCCTGATTTTTTTTTCCCACCCTGTTCCCTGCTTAATCTGCTCTTGGCTGCAATTGTCACTACAGCAAATCTTCATATCAATTTAATTCAACTCCCTGTTAATCAACTGATTGGCAAAAAAAACAACCCATATGCCATTATAGGAGAGACTTGAAAGAAAAGCTCCATTCCCATCCCAGAGATCAAAAAGGCAGCTCCATGCTTGTCTTATGCAGCGTCAAAAACAGTTTTTAGCTTTCTTTCCCCCCTTCTGTTGGTGAGCAGATGATCATGGAAATAGAGGCAGTTGTTGACCTGGAATGGTTTGGAAAACTGTAGAATTCAGAGGAGGTCCGCAGCAGATCTGGGCTCAGACGCATGAGATTTTAGAAGATCCATGATGTCTTGATGAGCGGCTGCTTCTGCCACCGACAAGGCAGTGTGGCCATTCTGGGGAAGAGAGTAAAGAAGCTGTGTTGATTCACAATTAAATGTTGCAGTGGCTTCACTAATCCACACAGTGGTGGTGTTGGGCTAGTTTAGACGCAGCCGCTCCAAGAATAATTCACCTGCCCTAATTAAAGCTGGAGTGCAGTCTCATGTAAACCTTGTATTTGTATCTTTCCTAAAAGTCTTCAAGCTACTGAAAAGACCTGATGAACAAAACCAAAATAAAAAATAACCTTGTACACACAAATCATGTATCAAACAACTGCAACAAAACTGATACAGCTATACTGAGATCATTTAAATATAAAAAGTAAAAAAAAAAAAAACAATGATGAGCTTAATTTTAACTCTAACATGATGATTACTGACATAATCTACAAATTACTAATCTGAAAAATAAATACCAACACATTCTTTAAGAAATCCGTATTAATATAGTTAAGTGTAAGTATAAATACTTTGTTTATATATTTATTTATTTGCTAATGAGAACCTTTTTTATCCAAATTCATGTTTATATGTAAACAATATATCTCGGATTTAGAATAGAACGCTGACAATAAAAATAAAAAAAACTAGTAGTACTAGTTTAGTAACTAGAAAAACATATGTGTCTTTAATCAAACAGTTTTCAGAAATGGAGGATTTAGCGATAATTGAAGAAGAAGGTAAGAGTAACTGCATTTAGTGTAAACAAGTAAAAAGGTTTTGAATTAGCACTGAGAATATTTTTATTGTTGTGAGTTTATATAAAATAGATTGCCCGAAATCAAATCTACTAGTTTCCGTTTACATACAGGCTCTTAAAGCACTGCTGCATGGCTGACTGTAACACGAGGCTAGAAAAGTAGAATCTCCAGACTGACACGTCCCATCCCTTTAAGAGGAATTGGGTTGTTAAAGGTTTTTCAGACTTTGCACAATATTTATTTTAATCATTTATTCCTGGCCAATGGTCCATTTTAATATAAAAAGCATGCATCTGCATAAAGAATCCATTGGAAGTGGAGGGCTGAAAAAGTAGGTCCAATGCTCCTTGTGGTGACTAAAAGTAATAGCATCCATACTCATAAAATGTTGCAATTAAAGATATAGAGGATCTTTTATCATCTAAATAAGTGGTCCTCCTAATTGCCCATCATTCTGGTGATGTTTACGTAAGGCCGTCCTACGTGCTCGCCTTGTTAGCTAGAGGGCAGGTCTTTTCATAAAAACTTCCACAATACCTTTTTTTAGAAGGTACACACAATACCTTTATTTTAAAGACATCCTGCTAAAAAATATTATTAACTTATTTTTTTGCAATTACTAACTGACAATTAGACAGTGTTTTACTTTTCATGTGGAAATATTGCAAACGTCTGCATCACAACTAATTGGATATGGGGTGGGTGGAGAGTGGGAAAGAAATGGTTTTATGAAAAGTTACAACTAAAACTATAAGCATATTAAGATCATTAAATATATTTTCATTAGTGAAGATCCTACCGCACTATTTAAAGCAGCTGAGACCAAAGTGTTCCCTCAGAAGCTGAATAATCTGCATTTTAAAACTCTAATAAGGCAATACATCAGATGTAGTTGAGGTGTTTATGAGCTATTTATTGCTTTTTGAACAATACTGCTGTACCTTACAGTTGGTTAGTAGTTTTCAACATTAATGTAACTGAGAATCTTGCATTATTATGGTTATTTGCTAACCATCATCAGCCACTGTTAATTAACGAGTAATTAGTTAGATACAAGGAAAACATCTGTATCACATCTGTTGAAAAGTTGAGTATGAGGTTTCCAATCCTTTTTTTGTAATTAAGAGAAATAACAACCACTCAACAATAAATAAAACAACTGCGGTTAACGTTTTAAACCTGTTTTTTAGTTTTGCACAAAAAAAGCAACTAATCTTTCCTAATTTCTGCTTATGTACAAGCTTTCAGTAGTAGTTTGGCACAGATAGTCAAAAAATGGGCATTTACGAAACACATAGTCCTTTGCTTTGACTGCTGCAAAATTATTAGATTTATTCATTGTTTCTTGAAGTTAGGCAGTGATGTGCTATTATAGTAAGCACTGTGTAACTATGGGTATTGCTTCAAAACTGACAGTTCAAAAGCTTTATGATAAAAGTTTCCCCTGCAATGACTCAAATGCTACCAGTGTTCATAGCTTGTGTTAAGTGTCTGAAATATAAAAGCACAGAAATAAGAAAACTTCTGCTGCAAAAATTTGCTTTGTATTCTCCAGTCCGAACTCCCCAGTCAAAACACAGTAATATTTTTGCGTGCATGTTATCAAGCATTCAAACCATGCTGCTCTAGCAATTTAGTATAAATGAGACAGCTTATTACGAGCCTGTGACCTTGTGGTTAACGGTCTCTGTAACCTGCTGCTGGGAGTACAAATCTCTCCAAACACAAGCATTCAAAAACCCATCTTTTTACACCGGGAGAGGTGTTGTGTACTTGACACCGAGACATCAATCAAAACTAATAGAGCGGTAAATTTCCACAGATGACACCACAGACAATGTTCAGTAGTAATATTTGTAACTTCCTACATCTATCAAGCAGTGATTCAAAGCAAGTTTTTCCTCTAATCAAAGGCCTGGTATAATAAATGTGAGCAGATGAAGCAGCATGCTGAGTGAAAAGTCACCCACAGGGGAAATTGTAGCTTCATTCCAGGGTGAATATTTTCCATCTCATTTTTTGTTTTCTGTAACAAAACAGATTGATTTAAATGCTTGTAGTGTAATTGAAAATAGTGCAGCTCATTTCCTCATATTGGAGAACAGGTTCACTTCAGCTGCTAAAAATAACATTTGTCCTCCCATTATATTATGCAGAAAAGCACTGACTAATGATACAAATAGTATTTGGATTGTGAGAGGTTTTAAATGTAGACCTTTGTGTATTTCTGTTCCTCTATACCAGGGATCTCCTTAGACATGTGGTAATGACTCTTTGTGGATTTCCTAAAAGCGCGCGCCTGCGAGTTCACGACGCTACGGAAACCGCGGCAGACCAAACCAGATGAAAGTGCGCATTCAGCTCGGCAAAGAACTCATGCTCTTCCTCAACACTGAAGTCCTCAGACATTTTTCTTTCGTTGTTTCTTTCTTTGCACAGGTAAACAGCACATTTCTTCTTCTATGCTTGCATTATCGGCAGAGCAGACGCTGAATGCGCACTTTCATCTGGTTTGGTCTGCCGCGGTCTCCGTAGCGTCGTGAACGCGCAGGCGCGCGCTTTTAGGAAATCTTATACACTACTGTTTATGCTCTAAAAACATTCTAAATGACTTTGTTTCGAGTAAATTATTGACGCTAGCCACTCAGGACACTTGGAATACATTGGAAGAGCAGTATGGAGGAATATTGACACGTTTTTTGTGGACTTTTATGGACCTTTCTGCCTTGGGCGCCATAGACCTCAATTATTTGAATGTCAGCAGACAGCAAGAAGCCTCCCAGATCTCCAGATGCATTTGAGATATCAAAAAAGTACTCCAGGGTGTTGTTCAGCATGGAGGTGAGTAGAAAATGAAGGCTAATCATGTTTTGGGTGTACTATTCCTTTAAGAAAATAATCCCTGTAGAAATAAATACAAACATTTAAAATACTTTTCTCACTAAAATGATTTAAAATGATGATGGTTGATATACTTCTTCTAGCATCTAATATTAACAGTTAGAAAAGTTTGTGCTTTGGCTTTCCCAATCCTGCAGGTTCCATGACAAACAGAGGTTAAAAGTTCAGAAGGATGGAACCGAACTAATTTGCTGTAATCTGTTTCATCCACTCTTATCTGCTTAAAGTCTGGCCTCATCCCCGGCCGAAAGGAACATGCCTCTCCATGTCAGTGAAAACATTGTTTCCTGTTAAAAGGATTCTTGCATGTCTGTGCTTCTTCTTAGTGAAATTTTCATCCCTTTACTGATGTTAGATAACTGAGCCTTTTTCACTGAAGGGTGTCCCTCCCAGAGATTGCTGTCTTTAGTAAAACCAGGTAATGTGTACTGTTCATATCATGTGTTTGATGAGAGCAGAAAAATCAGATTGTTGTGTTTCTAACCTGGTGCTTGCAGATCAGGAACCTTCAGGCAGAATATTGCATGTTTTTATAGACAGAAAGTATAAAGTTGGGTCGGTTGTTTGCTTTGGGTATGTTCAGTAACTTCACGTTCACTTCCCACATGCAATACACCGGTTTAGATACTCTTCAAAACGGACAGTAATTATTGTTATGAGAGATAAAAATAAAACCACTTTTTTTTTTATCTTATTAGTAATAATGGGATCTGACAGCTGTTCTGAGAAATTTGCTATTTCAGGAGCAAATCAGATTTTAATCCACCTTTCAAAGCTGTTTTATAGTGGAATTTTTACAGCATATTTCACAGCTTTCAGAAATAAGAGCGTACCTTATCTGTTAGCCCAGTATCACATCGACCTGTCTCCAGCAGCAAACATGCAATGTGCGTGTGTCCATGCTCAGAGGCACACATCAGGGCTGTAGATCCCTCGCTGTCCTGTGCATTTACATCTGCGCCGCAACTCAGAAGCAGCTTCACCATGGCAACGCGGCCATGGCTCACTGCAAGCATGAGTGCGGTCTGGCCAGCCTGGAGAAAGAGAGAAGGAGGCAGATTAGAATTAGAAGTTAGCAGAGGGCAGATATGAAAATAAGATATGGAGGAGGGAATGAAGTCTGAGAATGTGGGCGAAGGTGAGGAGGGGATGAAAACTATAAGAGACAGTGGTTGCTTTATGAATATCCAGTTCAGTTGATGAGAAAAACACCTACAGTATCATGAAGATGTCATGATCTCGGCGCTGATGGTTTGGTTTTTTCCTTTGCTCCTTGCTTTCCTGTCTAATTGGTTCTGCGGCTGATTATTGCCGATCATTTCCACCTGGTTCCTCTACTATTTAAGTTGTGTGTTTGCCTCCCATCAGCGCCGGGTTATTCTTGTGTTTTTGAGATACGTTCCCCAGCAGTCTGTAGTCTGCCTGTTTCCCTGATATTGACCAGTTTCTGCCCTGAGGATTTCGAGTTTTTTTGCCTTGCCCCTGTCTGCTCTGTTTGTCCTGTCTGATCCTGGATTCTACCGGCTTCTGAACCTGGAACTGTCGTCTGACTTCGGCCTTGGATTTCCCCTCTGGACTCTGTTGCTGCTCGGCGTCTGCTGCGCGCTCTCTAGGAACTCTGGGGGCGTCTCCCGCCGCACCTGCGGTCAAACCTCAGCAAACGGACTGAACTTTGAATCAGGTCAGTGACTTTGCTCCAAATCGTGTTAAGCTCCATATCCAGTCACTGATCTGTATTCTCCCATTTCTGCAGAGAGCCGCCCCGCAGCAGACGAGCAGCCCCGCGCACCTGTTTTTGCTAAATAAACGCTTTGAACTTTCCCACTGCCTGTCTCGCCTCGAATTCTGGGTCCTACATTCTGAGATCATTACAGAAGAATTTTGTAAAAAATATAAATATCAGTTATCAACCCATTTTCTTCTCCAGTGTATCCTGGCATGGCCTAAGAACGGCTGCTGCCTACCTCTTGCAGTCCTTGAGCAAGAGGCATGGCAGAACCTTCAGAGGTTGCCAGTCTATCACATGGAAACCCTGAGATACACCAGACAAACTAATGTTGTGATTTGTTTTCAAGTGTTCCTATGCTTTGAAGGAAGTGTGGGTAACATAGGGAAACCTAGTCCAGGATTTGAACTAACTTCATCATGCAAGGCTAGAGTGTTTACAAACGCACCCAAACGTAGCCTTAAATATCACTTATTTTATTTCAAAGTATTGTTTAAACCTTTGCTCTAAATTCACCATGTGCAGCAAACACTGCTGTTCTGTGCAGATGTTAATAATTGTTGATTATTCCTGCACAGCAGACTGATGACACCTCCACTAAATAGCTTTCCCCTCTCAATCTTTTATGTGATCAAATGGGATTAGAGGACATAGGAGAGTGATAAGTCTTATAATAAGTCTTATGAAAACCTTTTTTTTTGAGTTGCACTAAAAAAATTAACTGCTATATATTCCTAGAAAGCTTCCTATGTTAAAAAAACAAAAAAACTTCTGCCTCTGAGGAATATAATTTAATTTCCTGCATGGGTTCTTGAAATATACTGTTGTTTGCAACAATGAAATGAAGACATATAGAGAGCATTGAGTTTTTGCTGTTACTGTTTCATGGAAAAGTGGTTCTGAGCACTACCTGAAACTTTCCCTTCTCTTAGGTGTGGTGGCAAATCTACTTCAAGCTTATTACATGGCTGAAGCATCAGACTTTCAAATATAAAGCCTTAAATGGCCAAGCTCCACTTTATATCCAGGATCTGATCATTATATATGTTCCCAACAGAGAACTATGCTATCAAATTACAGGTTGAATAGTGGTTTCTAGAATTTCTAAAAGTAGAATGGGAGGCAGATCTTTTAGTTATCAGGCTGCTCTCCTGTGGAACCAACTACCAGTTTTAGTTGGTGAGGCAGACACCCTGTCTACTCAGGTTATCCTGAACTGTCTCTATAATTACAGTAGTAGCCATTCAAAATGTCCTCATTTTCGAATATGGGCCATTGGTTGGTCCTTGGCAAGTCCCATACAATTCCTTTTTAAATATCAATCTTTGTATCAAAATATTCTTTCTGTCCTGATTTGTGGATACTAAGATCTAAAGAGAAGCGTTATCTCCTGGTATCGACCCAGGTATTTGGCTGGCGTTTGACTGGGAAGGGCCATTTCGAATGGCTAGTACTGTATGATGCTATAGGCTTAGGCTGCTTGAGGACATAGGGACCACTTTTCATCATTGTACTTAATGTTATCTCTATTCTCCCATTCTGGAGTAATTGTTAGTTCAATCTCTAATATTATGCTCTCTCTGCTTTTTCTTCAAGTAGCTTCATCTGGTCTGTTCCTGTTTGGCTGTGACACCATCCTGGAAAGAAATATTAGCTGTGCTGCTGCCATCAACACCATTGTTTACAGATGTTCAAGCTCGGCCTGTTTTTCCATGTAGTCCTGTTTCTCGAACTGTGACTGTACAGTATGTGCTCTCTTTCATCCTCTGACATGGGAGCTGGCCCGGAGCTCATCTGCCTGGCTGTGTCTTTCCTGGCCTGTGGATCTGGTTGACAGTTGCCTTTTGTATATCTGGTTCTTTCTGTATGTCTGCTTCTGTCTCCTTGAACCCCAGTCAGCCTCAACAGATGGCCATTCTCACTGAGCCTGGTTCTGCTGGAGGTTTTTCCTGTTAAAAAGGAATTTTTCCTCTTCACTGTTGCTACAAGCATGCTTGGTGTGAGGGATTGCTTTCGAGTCAGTGAGTCAATAAAATTTCCTTAGATAGAAAGCTTTGAACCAATCTGACTATGACTATGATCCTGGTGAAGTGTCTCTGTAAAGTGCTTTCAGATGACATATGTTGTGAATTGGCGCCATATAAATAGACGGAATTGAATTGAAGGGCTGGAGTGAGAAAGTCTTACTCCTGTTAAGTGTAATATCACTAAAATTAAATGCCTCTGCATTTTAAAATTTGTGCTCTGTTGATCCGGGGTGATAACGAGGTTAAGGCAATTAATTGTGCAGCTCTAATATGTATAGATGATAAATGCATAAGCTTACCTGTCTGGAGCGTGCATTAACATCACCAAGTTTTAGCAGCTGCTCAGCTACCTCGAGATCATCGGGGCTCTCAGCAGCCGTCAGGGCAGCCAGCATCACTGGAGTATAGCCTGCCTTATTCACATTGTCTGTTTCACAAAGACCTAGAAGAATGCAAGAACAATTAGATTGAATTTAGCTTTCTTTGCAAGCGTGTCAGGTTCAACTTACCTGTGTCCAGCAAGAGCTTGACCACAGGAAAATTAGAATGCGACACACTGTAGTGCAGAGCCATATTCCCATTGCCGTCAGTCAAATTAACAACATATGGCAGGAGAGTGGGGGTGGTTAGTCCCACTTGTCTCAGGTATAATCTGACTGTATCTGCCTGGGAGTCTCTCTGACTGGAGACCCTGAACCACTCCTGATAGAGCACCACTAGCACTTGACGCTGTGGAGAGAAATAAAAATCTTTGGATTATGAAGAAAAAAGTAAATTTTTTTTAGATATGTTTTATAATTTGATTAAAAAAAGAGTAAAATCAATAGCAAACTCTGTAGGTAATCCCCTACCATTTCTTTATCTGGAGACGAAACTTCTTCCATGCGATCCTTTACATACATGCAAGCGTCAATGAATCCTTTGTTAACTTTTTCCCTACAAAAACACATGACACATTAAATAATAGCTTTAATCAGTAGGCACGTAAAACATCTGTTCTTTCCTGCTGTTTTCTAACCAGCCTGTTCCCCTAGTTTTCAGTGTAGAAATAGGATAACGCCAGTTTGCATTAATTGCTTAGTAATTCTAGTTGACCAATACTAAGCTGTTGGCTCATTATATAAAATCCAAACTAAATGCATTTAAAGTTTCAGATGCAGCATGAAAACATGGAAAAGGAAACTGGGTCTGAATAGTTTTAGAATATTCAATACTACATTATATTATACATTCAATATATAGTATATGAATAACTGTATTATTTATATCTGTAAATAAACTTGCGGGTGGAAATATTTAGTAAAACTTTGCTTGACAGGCAGAAGGATCCAGAGCTCTTGTCACAGTCTCACCTCTCAGCTTCTTCCTCCTGGAGAAGCTCGTGGCCACATTTTAAATCCAGCAGGCCACTCTCAACGTCTTTATCTACATCAGCTCCTCTTTCAGCAGCAGGAGCAGCAGCACCAGACTCTGCATCAGCCCCCTGGACTTCTCCTACTTCCTCAGACTCCTTGTCTGCATCCTTCTCCACCACAACTTCTGATTTTTCCTTCTCCTCCACCTCTACTTTTGACTTCTCCTCTGACTTCTCATCTCCACTGGAGTCCTCGCTTGATGTTGTCTCGTAGCTAGAAGAGAAAAATATAAATGTTTACCAACACGTTTGTTTTTAAAAAGATGAGTGATAATTAAAATATTATTTTAAAAAGAATAAAATATTTTACTGCATATGTAAATACCAGACATAATAGGTGTGGAAATAAGACTGATATTTAGGCAGCCACATCAGAGATAATTCAAAGTTACCTTCAGCCTAAATACTAATCAAGTATCCATCAACAGAAGCTTGTTTGCCTTTGTAGTCTGGACCTCAACATCGTACTGCACCCCCCAGTTTAATTAACTACATGCATAATTATCCATAGGAATGTTTGTGCACACTCATACGCAACCTAAGACAAAAACTACCTTGTTCCTTGAGGCAAGGCTCTACATTTAAAGCTTTGGTGGACGCCGGAGGAGTGTGTATGCCTGTGATCCCTAAGGTGAATCATGAAGGCACCACTGTAAGGCCAGTGATCAGATAAGTCTTACCATGAATACCATTGATTCATGATTATTTGAACATGCATGCACAGCAGTCGTTGGACCACAGCATTCCCCTGATTCCTGAAGAGCTCAAGACGGCAGAGATAGGGTAGATGATCTGAATAGATGGAATGCAGACAGCAGCCCACTTCCTGGTTTGGGGAGGAGTCTCAAGATTGTTTTGTTTGTTTGGCTAAATGCCAATGACACTGGCATGGAGGGAATTTAGTTTAATGTGAAGGAAGGGATGAAGGAAGGAAGGAAGGAAGGAAGGAAGGAAGGAAGGAAGGAAGGAAGGAAGGAAGGAAGGAAGGAAGGAAGGAAGGAAGGAAGGAAGGAAGGAAGGAAGGAAGGAAGGAAGGAAGGAAGGAAGGAAGGAAGGAAGGAAGGAAAGAAAGAAAGAAAGAAAGAAAGGAAGGAAGGAAGGAAGGAAGGAAGGAAGGAAGGAAGGAAGGAAGGAAGGAAGGAAGGAAGGAAGGAAGGAAGGAAGGAAGGAAGGAAGGAAGGAAGGAAGGAAGGAAGGAAGGAAGGACGTTTTTTACTTTTATTTTCACATGGTGCTGCATGGTGGTGCAGTTTCTAGTGCTCAGGGTCTTACTGCGTGGAATTTGCATGCATGAATGGGTTCTCTCCAGGTACTCCGGTTTCGTCCCACAGGCAAAAAAACATGACTGTTAGGTTAATTCGCTTCTTTAGGTGTGTTTGTGTGTCCATGGTTGTGCGTCTATGTGTTGCCCTGCAACAGCCTGGCGACCTGTCCCGGTTGTACCCGATCTTTCACCAATACACTGCCAGAGATAAGCAGGCCCCACCCCAAAACTGACGGGAAAAGAAAGAAAAGAGGAATACTTTAACATTTTAATTTTATGTCAGAGATTATATTTTTTCCCCAAATGTTTTTCATATTAAATTTTACAAAATGTATTATGTTCCAATGGTGTTTTCCAGATCACATTCACTTATGGGGTCAGATTGTAAGTATGTAAGTAAGTAAAACGAAAAACAAAAATTAATATGAAAACTACATTTCAAAACTTCAAAATAATAAACTATGAGAAGAGGGAACAATTAGAGTCAAAACAAATTATTTTTTTTATATTTTTCAAAGTTTCATATCTGAAACGTATTTCCCTGAAATTTCAATTAATAAAAGGTGTTTTTATTTTTTCAAACTTCCATTTACAAATAGTGTTCTTTGCTTTCTCAATTATTCGAACAAACTTCACTCCATACACCTGTTAAATGTTATTTACAGGTGCTGGTCATAAAATTAGAATATCATGAAAAAGTAGATTGATTTCAGTAATTCCATTTAAAAAGTGAAACTTGTATATTATATTCATACATTACATACAAACTAATATATTTCAGATGTTTATTTTGTTTAATTTTGATGATTACAAATGACAACAAATGAAAATCTCAAATTCATCATATCAGAAAATTAGAATATTACTGAAGACCAATAAAAACAAAGGATTTATAGAAATGTTGGCCAACTGAAAAGTATGAACATGAAAAGTATGAGCATGTACAGCACTCAGTATTTAGTTGGGCCTCCTTTGGCCTGTATTACTGCAGCAATGCGGCGTGGCATGGAGTCGATCAGTCTGTGGCACTGCTCAGGTGTTATGATAGCCCAGGTTGCTCTAATAGTGGCTTTTAGCTCTTCTGAATTGTTGGGTCTGGTGTATTGCATCTTCTTCTTCACAATACCCCATAGATTTTCTATGGGGTTAAGGTCAGGAGAGTTTGCTGGCCAATTAAGAACAGGGATACCATGGTCCTTCAACCAGGTACTGGTAGCTTTGGCACTGTGTGCAGGTGCCAAGTCCTGTTGGAAAATGAAATCTGCATCTCCAAAAAGTTGGTCAGCTGCAGGAAGCATGAAGTGCTCTAAAACTTCCTGGTATGTGGCTGCGTTGACCCTGGACCTCAGAAAACACAATGGACCAACACCAGCAGATGACATGGCACCCCAAACCATCACTGACTGTGGAAACTTTACACTGGACTTCAAGCAACGTGGATGAAGTGCCTCTCTTCTTTTCCTCCAGACTCTGGGACCTTGATTTCCAAAGGAAATGCAAAATTTACTTTCATCAGAGAACATGACTTTGGACCACTCACCAGCAGTCCAGTCCTGTTTCTCTTTAGCCCAGGCAAGACGCTTCTGACGCTGTCTGTGGTTCAAGAGTGGCTTGACACAAGGAATGCGACAGCAGAAACCCATGTCTTTCATACGTCTGTGTGTGGTGGTTCTTGAAGCACTCACTCCAGCTGCAGTCCACTCTTTGTGAATCTCCCCCACATTTTTGAATGGGTTTTGTTTCACAATCCTCTCCAGGGTGCGGTTATCTCTCTTGCTTGTACACTTTTTTCGACCACATCTTTTCCTTCCCTTCGCCTCTCTATTAATGTGCTTGGACACTGAGCTCTGTGAACAGCCAGCCTCTTTAGCGATGACCTTTTGTGTCTTGCCCTCCTTGTGCAAGGTGTCGATGGTCGTCTTTTGGACAACTGTCAAGTCAGCAGTCTTCCCCATGATTGTGTAGCCTATAGAACTAGACTGAAAGACCATTTAAAGGCTTTTGCAGGTGGTTTGAGTTAATTAGCTGATTAGAGTGTGGCACCAGGGGCCATCAATTTTGAACCTTTTCACAATATTCTAATTTTCTGATATGATGAATTTGAGATTTTCATTTGTTGTCATTTGTAATCATCAAAATTAAACAAAATAAACATCTGAAATATATGAGTTTGTATGTAATGTATGAATATAATATACAAGTTTCACTTTTTAAATGGAATTACTGAAATCAATCTACTTTTTCATGATATTCTAATTTTATGACCAGAACCTGTATATATTTCTAACCCTTTTATAGAATAGAATAGAAAATCCCTTTATTGTCCCACAATGGGCAAATTTACAGCAGCAGAAAGATTACTGAAAATGGTCACACAAATGAGGACCTTAGAAAAATGTATAAGAATAACATAATAGGGAAGAGTTAAAATATAAAAAATACAATTCTGTAAAGTGTTTTAACAATATAAAACTGGAGAATTAATAACCAATATGCAGCTATGGACATTTTTACAGTAATGGATATTTGAAAATAGCAGCAACATCAGAGATGTGCAGAATGACAGCAGCAGGTTATTTAACTGACTAAGGTTTCTATCATTACATTTGATTTGATTTGTTCCTGCTCCCGGTGGTTGGAACCTTTATTCCACTCTGGATTCTTGTGAGTGTAGTCTTTGTTCACTTTAACTTTTTTTAAAATAAATAAATAAACAAACAGTTTTGAAAACCTCGGTATTCATTCTTTTCCTGCTTTGTGTGTCAACTTTCACGGTTGCTAAGCAACAGAGCATACAGCGGTAAAACCCGCCGAAGGGTGGACCTGTTCGAATTTACAGCCAAAACTCTTCAGGTCTCCTTATTTTTAAGGACTTCGAAGGATCCAGTCTAGGTAGACCGCGTCCTTGGAGGATGCAGCCCAGGTTTTCGAACAGAGCCCCTGATTGAGAACAGGGCTGCCCGCACTGACGCGGCTCAGGGATTACGTCACACGGAGCGTCGTGCGCAGTGAAATCAGGACATTTCCTCACTTTCTAAAAAAAACCCGGGCACCCGGGACAGGACGTGAAATACGGATATGTCCCGGGAAATACGGACGTTTTGTCACCCTACACAAACCGCGCAGTACTGTTGCAAAAGTCAACAGTCAGCCAGGCAACCTCCCATGTCTTTTGATTGGGGGCCCCGCTAGGTGCATAGGTTCAGCTCAGAGGGCATGAAAAATGCTGCTGCTCTCTGGAGAGCACCTCCGGGACAGGCTACTGTGCCGTGCAGAGGACCAGCGGTGGAGCTCCAGTGAAGAGTCATTTGGTCAGACAGTGCGTTCTTCCAGGTCAAATGACCAGGCCAACAACGGTGCATCTTCTTCCAACTTACATAGACGTTTTTCTACTCACAAAGCACTTAATTATATACACCTACCTTATTGCTTTTTAATACAAATAACTCACCAGTTGTTAGAACTGATGAAAACTTCTTTCTAAAGTTCAAACAAACTTTTCTGTTGGTTTCAGAAAGAAATGGGTCAAAATTTTCAGAAAGTGATAATTTTCCTAATTTTTCCCACACAAATAGCTCAGAGGTTTGGAGAAAGTAGTCCGAAAGAAACCGAAAACATCCAGTGAGTAAGAATTGTCAGGCAGGTTCATGACCACACAAACTAAAAGTAGTTCAATGATAGTTCACATGTTACAACCAAACTAGGCCAACTACTCTCTCTGAATATGCAAGATGCTGATCCTTGAGGCAGTTAGTAAATCTGATCAAAATGGTTTGTTCAATACAACAGGTCCACTACATTTCCAGGGCCTCATTACACATTAGCAAGGTCAAAGAAGGACTCTTTTTGATATTGTGGAAAGCATGAATGCATTTTGCTTGATGCATAATGACAAAATATGGTAAATTAGAATTAAGGAGCGTTTCTGACACATTGTTGAATCTACACCGGAAATTATTAGTGTAGATATAAAGACGAATGGGAGTCCTGCAGACTATTGAAAAGATATACCTAATTCAGTGACTAATAAGTGTATATTCCAAGCAGATCCACACTTTTTACAAAAGACTTTACCAACAGACACAAATTCACCTGGTCTCATCAGGAAATATACCTGGAAAGCATACATCAAAAACGAGAGGGATCTAAAATGACTATAACACCCATTGGTGGCTGCTGTCCTTACACTATCCCGGAGGGGGAGCTCATCCACCATCCAGACGCTCATATTACCAATTTGTATGAGAAAGCCAATTCATTTATTCAGCACCCATAGCTCAGGACCATATCTGATGGTTGGAATGTAAAGCAGTCTTTTAACTCAACTTCATCTCCATTTAAACAGAGGAGAGAGCATATCCATCACTAATCTCCTTATCTGCCAACAAATCTCTTAAGTTCCGCTTTGCAGTCATCCATTGCAGGTAAAGGCTTACCAGGCCACAAGATAGTAGTCCACTTAAAAACAGATTGCTCTCAAGATGAAATCCTCTTTCTGGTCTTTCTGATTTAAAACTGTGAGCATATATTTAGTGAAAGCCAATCTTTCATTCATGCTGTCTCATCCTAAACTTAAAACTGTCCATGTAATGTCTGAGAGTGACATTTTTATGAAGCCAATAGAGGCACTTTAAAGCTGCCTAGAGTGAAAATCTCCTGACTATGCCTAAGTAGTATTTTGGATTCACACCCATTTGTACAATGTCCCACAGACCTACAAATTAAAATATACACCAGGCCTTACTGTAGCATGCAGAAACAAATGCATCAGAAGTTGGATGGTAATAAAGGGATTTTTACCCTCCATTCACCCCAACAAACTTCAGATTTTTCTTGGCTCCCTTGCTTCCCTGCTTGTCAGCAACACCTTCTTTCTTCATAATCGATTTGAGACCTGGTGAAGAGAAAAGAGGAAAGAAAAAACAAGAAGTGAGAAAAGTATGTTTCTTTAAATCTAACTCCTGTCTTCAAACACTGAACTGCAAATGATTTTTAAACTATTTCTTTCTTAAAATTCAGCTTGTTGTTTTATGGTAAATAGAAGCAACACAACGACTTTGCTAGTGTTTTTCTATGCAAAGTAAAATGCCTTTTTTATTTCCAGTGAGTTTCAAAATTATGTTGTTAATAAACCTCTAACCAATAGCGTTGATTTTACAGTATGTCTCACTACAACCACAAACTTCAACTTATTCTACTGGGATTTTAGAACCTAGACCAACATTAAGTAATGCCTTATTTTAATGTGTAATAAACAAAATGAGTAGTTCCTTTTTTGTTTGTTTGTAATTTTAACAACTGAACTTTAAAAAATGTGTATCTGTTTTAAGAACGCTTTTTATTACCTATAAATCCAGTACTACAGGTACCTTAAGAAGTTTCCTAATCATTAAACAGAGTCTATCAGGGTGTACAGAGTGTGATCTCAGTATCAGTGCAGCTATTGTGTTAAGGCCTCAAAAGATGTCTATAAAGCTTCCTAAAAACAAAGAAAGCATTATTTATAGAGGTAGCCGTGAGGCAGTGGTATCTCTAGAGGTCTTCACAGGTCAACAGCTTTGTCATGCACTCCACATATCTGGCCTTTACAGAAAAAGAAGCTTTGGTGAAATGAGAAGAGAGTCAACCCGTTGGAATTCATACAGAATACCATGGTACTTGGAAACAAATTTGAATACTCCACCATAAATACCTTTTTTTAAATTGCATTTAAATGACAGGTCCTGATCAGAAATAACAGCAAGATTTTTTCATCTATTATCTGAGGTCAGTTTAATCCTATCCAAATGAAGTGACGGACTAACCAGCCTTTTTTTCAAAGACTCTGGTCCAAAGACTATAACCTCTGTTTTGTCTGCATTCAGGAGAAGAGAGAGTCATCCAGGTTTTTATATCTTCAAGACATGCCTGTAATCTATGTAATGGGTTAGCTCCATCTGGATGTATAGACAGATACAGCTGAGTATTATCAGCATAAAAGTGGAAATTAATCCCATTCCGTCTAATAATTCTACCGATTGGGAGCATATACATATAGTAAAGAGAGTTGGTCCTAGCACTAATCCCTGTGGTACTCCACAGTTAACTCTTGAGCATGAGGAAGATTTGTCATTAACTTAAACAAACTAGAATTGGTCAGATAGATAAGATTTAAAACAGCCTCGTGCTTTTCTTTTAATTCCTACAAAATATTCAAGTCAAGAATATTATGATCAACTGTATCGAATGCAGCACTGGATCAAAGCAGTCTAAACCCGGTTCAGATTCTATGGCTACCTCAGATGCTGCCTCACCTAACAGAGACAAACCATGTGCGGAAAGAGTGCTAATGTGATCTTATTTTTAATAGGATCAATCGTATTTATAAAAAATCCCATAAAAACATTACTGCTAAGAGCAGGTGGAATGAACGGTTCAACTAAGCTATGGCTCTCGATGAATTTGTCAACTGTATTAAGATTATTCTTATTCTCTTCTATTAATAAGGAGAAATATGCTGCTCTTGCTTTATGAAGGGTCCTCTTATATAGCAGTAAACAATTTTCCAGACAAGGTAAGATTCCCATAGGCATGTGGAGCGGGATTTTCTCTCCAGTTTCCTAGCATTTTGCTTCAGAGTGTGAAGCTATGCATTAAACCAGGGAGCAAATTTTAATATTTTAGGTTTTTCTTTTTCAAAGGAGCTGCGTTGTCTAAGGCAGTATGCAGAGAATTAGCAACCCCATCAACAAAATCATCAACCTGGGAAGGGGAATAAACTTAACTTTTTCCCACTGCAGCACTGCTTATTGACACAGAGGAGAAAGTGAAACAGATCATTTAAAATTTATAACTGCGCTATCTGATAATGATCTGCTAAAGTGAAACCTTCTTTTGGGGGAGGAGAACTCTATTAAAATAATCCCGAAAGTTAGGTTTGACCTTCAGGTTAACCTGAAGGTCAAACCTAAAGGTTAAATTTTAATGGATTGTTCCTTGGCATCAGGTGCAACTCTGGTAAAATTTCAATAAAACCCATCCATAACCTTTAATGTTATCCTGTAGACAGAAAGACAAACACACAAACTCTCCTGAGGTAACTTAGGTATAGTTGAGGAGTTTCTTTTTCCGGGTGGATCATCAAAATTACTGGTCTTCCTAATTGTCAATGATTCTGGTGATATACACACACACATATACAGTGTATATATATATATATATATATATATATATATATATATATATATATATATCTATATATAATTAAAATTATCTCCATTTTAACGGCGATAATTTTTTTAACGTGAGATTAACGCTATGTGGTTTTATGGTACAATTTTCCAAGTACATCCCGCTGCAGCCTGCGGGAAGGCGGGGCTATTTTCCCCCAGTCTATGCATTTTCCATAGGCTTCGAGAGCGGAGCTCCTCAAGGGAAAAAGACGCTCATACACTGGGTATCGCTAGTGCCTTTTCTTTAAGCCCCACCACCAACAAACAAGTTGAGTGTCTGGTGCCTAGTAGCAACCTGAAATACGCTGAGAAAACAGATTACTGAGGTGAAATGGAATCTGCTATGGCACTCTTGCTGTCTGTGTACGCCACAGGTCGGTATCGTGTGTGTGTGTGTGTGTGTGTGTGGGTGGGTGTGTGTGTGTGTGTGGGTGGGTGTGTGTGTGTTCTCATTTTTGTTAAGAGGCTGAAAAGTAACTTTCTAGAGCATAGACTACCTCCATCTAGTGATGTCGGTCTATTGATTTTGATGTATTGATTGAAAATTGTTCATTATTATCTTGGTTAATTAACATCTAATGTTAACTGTACTACATTTTATAGCAGTAGGGTAAAATGCTTGTCTTTGTTCAAAAGACTGTATTGACTGTAAAGACTGTCTTCTACATCAGCCTGTTTTCAGGGCCTTTTTTTTTGCCTACATATTTGTTATTTTTTGCTACATGCCTCCCCATCTTCTTGCCATATGTTTCTATGGCATAAATCAGTGTCTGTGACCTGTTTTCATTTTAAAAAAAAGAACATTGGCACAAACCTAGCCTGTATGTATTTTTTGTATGTCATCGAGAGTATTTAAATGATTTTCAATCAGAAAAAAAATTTGCGAATAAAAATCGATTAATCGCGAGTTAACTCAGGCATTGATGCGATTAATCGCGATTAAAAAAATTCAATCGATTGACAGCACTAATATATATATATATATATATATATATAATATATATATATATATATATATATAATATACACTGTATATGTGTGTGTGTGGACGCACTGTATATACTTCAAACACCTTTTCCTCCTTTTGGGATTTTCTTTTTGACTATTGAGCCAATGTGACCAGTGAATTTCTCCACTGTGAGATCCATAAAATCAATTTTCACCTACCAGTGGTGAGTCTGACATAGTGAAAAAATTGTCAAATTCTTTTGGAAAGTAAGCTTATATGAGCGATGCAAACAACAACTGTTAAACAGAGCGTGCACGAGGAGAAATGGGCTTGTGTATGCTTTTGCACGCATCTAATAGCCGTTACCTCTCGGGAGCGGGTACAGGGTTATGCATGTGCTATTTTTTTATTGCAAAAATCCTCGACTATACCTTCAACTATTATGCGCTATTTTGTTAGTATATCATAAAATTCTATTAAAATGTTTTTTAAAAAGTTTGGATACTTTAGACATTGGAAACCATTTGTCAGCAGACCAGAGGAAAGCAAGAGGTCTGTTCATGTAGCCATTCAAACTAATGAAACCAGCACAGTGTGACATCGGAAATATCATTATACAGTGACTTAAGAGATTACTTGGTGATGACAGGTAGAAAGAAGTTATTTGGTTGAATTAAATTGAGTCACCTAATAAAATAACACAGCAACATGCTTTACAAGTATTTGCCAAGGCAATTTGCTCAACTCAGCATTATTCACATCACTGACAAGATACAAACTTGACATTGTCAGGCCTTCTTATGTATGTAGTAACTTTGAAATAATTGATTCTGAATTGACTTTTCTGCTGACTCCATTTGGCTCTGGGCCTAGTATGGCTGTCTTAGTTGTTTCTGACAGCTGTTATCGTGCCGTGGATCCATAATGTTTTGTCCAAGTACAAGGATGTGGCTATCAGCCAAAAACCACCAACTGAACAGATCCAAGAGGAATGGTGCTTTTAGATCAAGTGTCTCTCAGAGGAGAGAGCAGCACAGAGCGGAGAGCTGAGTGCATATTTGAAATTTGAATACATCCTCATAACATGAATAAATGTAAGCTTACTCTTCATAAACACCATCATTTTCATATCACCTGAATTTAGCTAAGATTATTTATGTAAATTTAATCAAACTTATTTGTGAACATTATAAAAACTTAATTTGAGAGTCAGACCTGAGGCTAAGCTTCTAGTATATCAGAGAGGTTCAAATTATGGACAAACACAAAGAGAAACAAATCCTGAAATACCACATATAAATCCAGGCGTATGTGCTTTGTTTGAACACATTGCTGTACACAGTCCTTCTAACAATGAACTGCGTGTTAACAGTTTTAAAAATTGGTTCTGTGCTCCAGCTTCATGCAGGATCCCCAACAGTTGAGACATAAAGGAAAAAAGAGAGGAACCATCTGTTCAATGAATGAGTGAGGGCCTCCGCTTAAGAGTCCACTTATCTGTTAAAAAGCATGGACTCACATTCTGCCATAAATGAGGATTTCTACAGTATATTCTCTCTGTAATCAAAACAAGTATATGATGTCTTATAGTAGTTTAATGAACCATGCTATACAAGCAGGGTTTAGTAAGTTGTTCTTTTCCTGTTCCTAGTAATGGTAACCCGTGGTTACTATAGTTAAGTATAACAGCACATACGAGACATGACACATGGAAATAAAAATGTGCTTGCACTACAGCTATTAATAAACACAGCACAGTACTGTGCTTATGATAAACAACTAGACCGTTTTTGCCAAGCATCAGTGACAAAAAATGCTTTGCAAAAATATGCTATTGCAAAATAATTCATACCCCATTGAAGGTTTTTAATTAACTACAGTAGGCCTACATTCCAACTACGAATGTTTGCATATTTTAACTGGATTTTACATGATAGAGCGACATAAAGTAGCATATAGCAATGAGGTTGGCTTTCTGGATTTTCATGGTGGTTATTAGTAACTTTGGCTGAATGGATAAACCACTAACCAACTAATGTTTTTTTTGCATAGAGACATAACAACATATGCAGGCTCTAGCCACTTTCTTTAATTTCCATTAATTAATTCCATAAAATTTTTTGTCATCGCATTGTTTTTTTTAAGTTGGTGAATGAAGTGAGTAATCAGAGAAGCTACCGGGGCTGCGACAACTTTAACATATTCCATAGGTGTCTGTCTTTTTCAGGTGATTTATTTGACAAAACAATATTGTTTTTCATATCATGAAGTAACAGGAGATAAAAATAGCAGCTAAAGAATGCAATCAAGTACGAGTAGCAATACTTTATAATAATATTACTTAATTAAAGTAATCAACAGGGTGTGTTAAATGTAACAATTTATTATCCATAGCTAGACTAACATCAATGCTTTTTTTTATTCTTCTGAGCTGTGGATTTATGCACCTTCTCCGGAATAATTGGTGTTGTGAATAATTCACAAAAAATTAAAAAATACCTACACCAAATAAAATATCATTTTCTTTTGTGGTTTTTCAGTATGGTTGATTAATTCATTGTCTGCTTACAAAATTCAGGAAACCGAAATTTAGGTTTCAGAAGAACCTTTATAATTCAAGCATCATTCCTAACTGCTACCCAAACTAAGCAATTACGACCTAATGAATATGATGCACCATTATCATTCTGTTAATAACTGATCAAGCCTTGATCTGACAGCCTCTCTCCTGAGTGGAGTGTTTCTAATTATGTGAACAGACCAGTGGGGTCTCCAGTTACTTGTGAAATGAACATGTCATAAAAACTCAGTCTTGTAGTCAGTTTGATTATTAGAATCTAATTTTAAATGACATATCTGGTTTTCATGCAAGGTGAGGACTTCTACGCTGGTACAACAGCAATCTAAAAAGCATTCTGACAATGTCCCGCTGCTCATTCAGCCTTTGATAGAATGAAATGAAACTCTGTGTACATATCAATATTAAGAATCCTGTTTCTGATATGAGATTATAAGCAATGTCTTGTAATTATGCAACAGAGCTAATGGAACTCCATGTGTTTGTGAATAGGCGATAGGTGATATGTGACAGGAACATTTTCAGCTTATTGCAAGATAGTTAAGCAGCTTTGTTCTTTTTGATGCACTGCATGCCTACCTTGCTCTTGCTGTTTGCTGGTTGCAGCTGTTTTCTGGCCTGGGGAGTAGAAGGCAGAGAGGACGCTGAGGGAGCTGACCAGCTGGCTCTGAATGGAACTCATTTTGGAAGCACCAGTCTTCCCTGTTGGTTTCCCAGTTGTTGCAGTGGGGGTCCCTTTGCCTGCAGCTTTGGCTGGGGCTCCCTTCCCTGCTTCTGCCTTTTTGGTTGCAGTCGGTGTCTGTGCGCTGGGGCTGTCCTGTTGGCTTGATGTCTGTTGCACTCCTGAGCTACTCCCCAGCTGTGCCCACTGCTCCCCAAGAAGACCTGTTATTCGGGTTACGACTTGTCCCAAAGCAGCAGGGGATGTTGGTGACTCACCAGAGCCTCTGCGAGCTGACTGAGACTCACCAGATTCCCGACGCAAGGCCTTTGCCTCACCTGAACTACGATGCTGAGCCGCTTCGCTTGATCCTCTTCGAAGTGATTGTGTCCCACTGGCATCTTTTTGAGATGATGGAGCCTCAGTGGAGCTTCTCCTCAAACTCTGGGCATGAGATTGGGCATCACCTGACCCTTGGCGTGTTTGCCGAGCCTTGGTTTCACCTGATACTCGACTTTGAGGGTGGGATACACTTGACCCTCTCTGTGGCGCTTGCTGCTCCTTTGAGTCCCGACGAGATGACACTTGAGACTTAGCGTGGGGTTGATTGGTCTTGGTCTTTATTTGGACTTTATTAGGACCTGAAGAGGAGCTTTGCGATTCCTCTTGAAGCTTTGTAATTAATTGCTTATCTATTAACTCATCAGGCAGCTTCTTTGCTTGACTATTGTCTTGCATTTGAGGCACAGGCGGTGTTTGATCATTTTCCTGTGGTTCAGAGGGCTTTGCTGAAATCTCAGCCTCTGGGCAGGGTACAGTCTGAACTTTTGTAGCATTTGTTTCAGCCTCAGTGGATCCCCTAATAGTGAGCATGGGTGCATGTTGAGGTTGAGTTGATGATGACTGGTTTTGCTCTACCGAGGACTTGCGGCCCCTCTGTGGTCTAACAGGTGCTACTGCCTTTGCAGCTGAATTTCCAGCTACTACCACATCACTATCTGAAACAACATTTTCTTTGCCTGATGCAAACAAAACTTCTCTGTCTTCATCTTCTTTTTTATCTGTTGTCTCCATCTCAGTCTTTTTTGGCTCTTTTATTTCTACCCTATTAGACACTTCAATGTCTTTGATTTTTGAGTCATCTTGTAAGAGACTCACCTCAGTATTGGTATTATCTTTTACAGAGACCTGACTGGGACACCCTTTATTCCTCTCCCCAGTCTCTGTAGTTAAAGTTGCTGCAGCAACACCCTCAATGTCTGAAACAGATTTTGTTGTATAAACTTCCACAGCAACATTTTTACTTTCTATTTGGACTCCATTCATTTGTTCACTTTCTGGAGTGCTCCTGATGAGTTGACTGATATCATCTCTGACACTGATTTTATGTTTAACCATATGACCCTCTGCTTCTGCACTTTGGGACAAAATTGTGTATTTCTGTCTTTCTATCTCTGTTTCAGTTTGTTGGTCGTTTCTCTGAGCTTTCTCCGTCTCTGTGACCCTGTCCATAGTGTCCACCCTTTCAGTTTCTGTTCCTTGATCTACGCTACTAGCCCTTGGTCTTTGCGGATAGTCTGTCACTGGTTCTTGTTCTGTCTCTGTAACTTGGTTTACCCTTTCAGCTGCAGGCGTCTCTGTCATTTGATCTTGAGTATTGATGCTCTCAGTTATTGTACCCCTCTCCATGCTGTTGGCTCTGGGTCGAAGTTGTATCTCCTCTGTTCCCTCTGCCTCCATTTCTGTTTGCTGATAACTTGGGTCAAGTCTGCTGGTCTTTGTTCCTCGATATATACTTCTAGCCCGTGGTTTTGGTACAGTTACTTCAACCAGAATTCTGTCCATATCTGTTCCCTGGTTTATCGTAACAGGAGGTTCTGTCGCTGTTTCTTGGTGGCTGAGATCAATTTTCTCCGTTGCTGTAGCTGCATCTATGCTTTCTCTTCTTGGTCGGGCAGATGCTTGTGTTGTACATATTTCCACTCTCATTCCTTCACTTAGCTGCAATATTCTCTCCTCTTTTGCTTTGTTTTCCTCCATTTGTTCCTTCAAAAGAGAATTAGTCCTCTCCAGCTCCTGGCTAGCCTGAGTAAGTTTTGCCTCTAGTATAATTAGCTTCTCCTCCAGCTTTAGCATTCCATTTTGGTCTTCTTTAGATACATTACTATCTCTGAAATTATCACCTTCTTTTGCAATAACCTTAGTGTCAAGTGACAGTCTTTCCACAGAATTATCAATTAAGCTCACCGGTATCTCCTTTTGCTTATCTACTTTCTCTGATGGTTGACTTTGTTTTTCACTTGTGGAAGGATCCGTCTGCTTGGGTAGCTCTTTCGTTCTTTTTGTCTCTCTGTGTCTCTCTTCCACATTAACTGGCACATGATCACAAGCTACACCTTCAGATATTTGAATTGCCAAAGATAAATTGAGACCTTCTGGAGGTCTTTGTTTTGGGGTTTGACTTTCTCCTACTTTGTCATGTGTTTGTGCCTTTGAAGAGGGATCCTGAACTTGGGACTGTGTCTGTATCTGAAGCAACAGCTGCTCCCGCTCTGCCCTTAGGGAACATATTTGAGCCTTTAGTTCTGGGATAGTTTTGACCTGTTCCTCCAACTCTCTGACTCTTTTTAGTGCCACTGTTATCTGCTGGTGAAGACCTGCCCGATCCTGTGGAAGGCATCGTCTTTCCAGTACATCTGGAGAGGCACGGAACATGTTCTCTGTTGATCCATTTTCTGGTGTTCCTGTCGTACAATCAGGGCTACTTGAATCTGAACCCTTTCTCTGCTGGAGAGTGACGGGCATTGATGAGGCTCTGAGGAGGTTTGGTCGACTTTGAATCACAGCTGTTTTATTTGCAGTACCTTCAAAGCCTGTGCTTGGTTCATCTCTGGATTTATTTGAAACATTTGCAGTTCCTTGGCCGGCTGTCCCTCTGCTGCTATGGCTGGATACTGCCCCTTCACTTTGCCTAAAGTCAAATATTTGTTGGACCTCTGCCACTCGTGATTTGGGTCTTGGCCCCAAGGTAGATGTTCCAGACCATGCCCCTTCCTTAGGTGGAGGCCTGACTCCATGTCCTGGGAGGCTAAAATTTCTGGGAAGAGTGCTGAATTTAGCTGGGCCTTTCACTCTCCTCTGGATGTGGACTCTTTTGATGGTGTTGCCTTTTTCAATATCGTCCACATACTTAAGGAAGTCCAGATCCAGATGGAAACCATAGGGAGTCTCCACTGAATAGGGTAGTTGCTTCCTCTGTACACCACCCTCGCTGGCCTTGGTCTGAATGCCATTGGCTGTTAAGATTTAACAAGGATATTAATTAATTTTGTTAAACAAAAACTAAAATGATAAATATTTCAAAGTAATGTGCAATTATTTAGCACATTGGACATAAATGAGATTATTATCAACATAACAATTCTTTATCATCATCTCGCAAAGACAAGCTGTGCTGTGTTACTTGCATGAAGTAATTGAGCCAAAACAAACAAGGCAGCATCTAAAATGCTGTTCCAATTTTATAATAAATTCATTTTCAAGGGGTGTGTTTTTCAGCTCAAGGAAATTACCCCTTAACAACCCCTTACATACAAAATATAATTTAGCAGATACTTTTAGCTTTCATTTCTTATAGTCTGTGCAATGAACAAAAATAGAGTCCTACAAGACAAAGTGGTGTTACAACTGGGGAATAGATCTGGGGTGTGAAGTGTAAGAAACAGGGACATTGTCTGTTTAATTACAGGCTTAGTTGCACTCACCACTTTTCTTGTCCATCATTAGAGGCAGAGTTCTCAGTCATGTACTTGTTTTTGGCTCGATTGGAGCTGGCAGCCTGCATAAGACAGAACAAATGTCATGTGAGAAATTTAGTGAATAGTCAGATTCATCCTAAAAAAACAAAAAAGAGAATTACATATTAATTGTAATAAAGTTACATCCATATTTGTACTTAGAAATGGAAAATTACAACTCTGCACAATTGAATGCTTAAAGTCAATATAAAAAAACAAGAATCGGTTTCAAACTAACGTACAGTAGGTCAAGTGGGGGGCAAACACAGACCTTAAGATAAGCCAACAAAATCAAATCGACAAGTTAACAGCTGTTTTGCACAGGCTTTGCACGAGTTATAAGTGTCATTAAATATATTCATCATTGTTTAAAAGTGAAGGTAACATTAAATATGGTACAATAAAACATTGCATTTATCTCCCAACCCCATAATCCTGATTTGCTTTATCTTTCTTATTTTATTTTTTTTTATTAATGGCATATTGGAGAAATTTAGCTCTGCATTTAACCCATCCCTTTGGGGAGCAGTGGGCTGCCATCGTTGGGAGCAATCTGGGGTTTAAGATCTTGCTCAGAGAACCAGAGTGGCATAGTCTGTGGGAGTGGGTTTCAAACTCACAACCTCAGGACCTCTTTTCCCTGTCCACTTGGCCACCACTTCCCCAGTACTGTTAAGTACTTTTAATACCAGTTGAAGTTTACACTGAGATATCGCAAATCCATTACCTTTTCTTTTAAGAATATACAGTGTTATCCATATATCATATTTACAGATTAATAGGCAGTTGGGTTTTCTGCTTTCTCAGCTTTCTACTCCAAACATAATTCAATTTTGAAATTATGAGTGAAAGAAGTTTATATGACCAGCATAACAACATCAAATACTGAGCCATTTCGTTTATTAGCCTAATTAAATCTAAAAAGACCATTTCTTGGCAGACTCACTCAAGGGACCATTTGGTGTCACTTTATACCATTTGCTTCAGATGGTAGAGCCAAGAAACCAAGCTCTAGATTAAAGAGAAGATGAGAAACAGAGAGAAAATCAGAAGGTGTACAAAAAAGAAAAAAGGAAGCCATACTTCCTTTCTTTTATTGAGCTAAATATTAATTAAATTTTTATATAAGGAAGGCCCTTTAATCAAGCATTGCCGAGAAATGAGGCACATTATATGTTTTTACAAAAATTGGCAGAAATATTAGGTGATTTACTGTATCTCCTGAAAATAGCCCTAGCTCTCGTCTTCAGGTTATCAGTTCTATGATCAGAATTGATTTATATATAAAACATGTTTTAGGACATGAAAAAGATTTCAATCTCATTTTGATTTCTACTGTTTATTTCTCTTTGTTTGTTGTTTTTTCTTCTGTTTTGTTTTCTACCTCCGGGTTTCTTAATGAAATCCTAGACCACCTATTTAAGATTATTATAATGATGTTTCTGTTCTTTATTACTGTCTTTTTTATGATGGCATTTTATAGATAGAGATATTTTACACTCAAAGGAATATTTCTTTACAAACAGGGGAACATTTATGATTTGATAAATGAGTGAAAACATTAACCTTTCCATTTAGTTCATAAGAACTGTATATTACACCAACTTGACTGACAAACACAAACAGTTTACCAGGTGGTTATCATTTTAAGTGGTTATCATTTTTATTTATGTTTTTAGTTTGATATATTTATAAATGCAAAATGTAATATTAAACACATATTAAATAAGCTGTAAGAAACCACAGTGTTTTGTGTTCACTTAAAGGGGCTGGCATACTTTAGGTTGGATATTTGACCTTTGTTCTTTTTAAAACTTATATAGCTAATTGATACAGGTTTGGGAACAATGACACAACTTTTAAGCATACATTGCAAAAAAAAGAAAAAAAGAAATAATAAACAAACTTGTTTTTTTGACATTATTTCTTATATTTTGTCTTTTAACCAAGGTTCGCAGATAAAATTTATCTCATTCTAGAAACATTATGGTTAACCTTTTCTTAAGATATTTCAGCTTATATTAAGCTTCATTTTGCAGTTACAAGGCATGACAATGGTTTGGTTGATGTTCGAGAATTGGAATAAGACAATTTCTCTTATTTGAAAAGTAAAAATATTTAAGCAACTTCAAAGAGCTATGAAGTTGATGGGAGTCAAGTAGAACCCCTCACTTTAGACTATCTTCAATGAAACAATAACCAGACAGGCCCAGGAAATCATTTCTGACCCCATTCATATTCTCTCTTCAGAGTATCAGTATCTTTCTTCAGGTCAACGTCTTGGAGTCCCTACCTGTGGACTGAACCGCTAAAGAACTAATTTGTTCCACTTTCTATTAAAGAAATAAAGTATCAAACAGTAAACATTGAAATAGGCAATGGTAATCAGAATCTTACACTAAACTGAAATGCTTCTTTTATGTATTCATTTATCTTATATTCTTTAAGACCGCTTTTATCCATTTTCTAATGTATTATTATTGCGAATGTAATGTAACATTCTTTTTCTATTTATTTATTTTTCTTAAAATTGATTTTCTATAGTAGTGTTTTTATGACACTTATTTTGGACTATGTAGCAGCACGAGATTATTTTTTGTTGTTGTTTTTGTTGTTTTTTTTCAGTGTAGTCTATAAATATTCAATGATGCTTGGTTAAGGGAAATTCTATGAGAATAAACAGGTCAGGATAGTTTTCAAGTTAAGGTATCCAACTGTGTTCAAGTTTATATTTGACTCGCTCACTCATTTTCATTGTTCTAATGGAAAGACAATTTGGTGGAACATTGAAGAAAAAAAAACAATAAATACTAAGTAGCTATTACTCTTCCTTGTTATAATATAGAAGATGGTTAGCCACCTCTTCAAAAATTATTATATTCAAGTTCTGAAAGTTTAAATGACCTACATACACCCTGAGCTTAAATGCTTAATGATCAGAATAAAGAAATGTTATGCTGTTATTACACAATGGCCAAAAGGGATGTTCTTAGGATTTAAGCAGAGAGTTAAAAAGAACAATGCTTTCTTTCAAGCATGGTAGTAAAAGCATCATAAAGCCTCTTTCCCACTGAAAATACAGAGTTAAAGCGTCTTTTTTCAAATATGGTATCTGCTATCAATCAGCATTTCCCATTGGTAAAAATAGCTTGGGCCTCATCTCCCGCTGGCAGGCTGCATGGCCTCTTTCCCCCTGCTGTTGCATGCCTAGTGACACTATCACGCTGAGTTAGCATTGATGATGTCACAGGTCCGACAGAAACCAGGAAAGTAAACAATGGAGAGCAACATGTTAGGAAGCCAGGGTGTATTATTTGTGCTGTATTATTTCACTCTGTTATCTTTTAAAACCAGTGCTGCGCAATGTTTATCGAATGTAAACAGAGTTGTTTCGGCTTGTTAGATAAGATGTGACTGGACCAGCGTGTTGACGAATTGCGCTCAATGCCATCATGTAAATTAGTGGGTGAACCCGTGTCTGGTGTTCCCACAGGATGCCGATGATAGCCGAGGAGATTTTAACATGGGTCACTTGCCAGGTGATTTGTCCCGGGTAGACATGTGTCAGTAAGCTGTTCCCACTGCCACTAAAAGCTGAATGTTCCTGGGTTTAAACAGGTTTTCAGTCAGTGGGGTAGGGGTATGAGACTCTGTCTTGCTGTCAGTAGTAATGGTACATTGTATAAATTTCACAGGACAATGAATGGTTGGCCTAGTGGTTAGGGCATATAGCTTGGTTCAAGCCCCACTCCGAGGGACTGCATCTCTGGCTCCCTAAGCAAGACCCTTACTGCCCACACTGCTCCCCAGGTGGCGCATAATGGCAGCCATGTGCTCCCTAAGGGGATGGGTTAAACGCAGAGAGTGGATTTTGTTCCTTTGTAATTGTGACAATGAAATGCCAATAAAGTTGAATTCTATAAGAAGCAGAAACTAAAGTATTTCAGCTTCAAATCAAATGCAGGCAAGTTGAGACCTGGACACATTTATTTGATACAAAGCATAAATAAAAATATATTTTTCAAAGCAAACTACAGTATTCTGCCTTTTCTCATTAGTACACAAATTTCCAATCATGCCAAATGCTTTTTGTATATTCGAAATAGCACTGGTGTCTTTCCAAGTTTTTATCTATACACTTTAGTGTGTATACATGTATGTTTGAACAGTACATCACAAAGATATCAACATCTGTTTGAAGGGAAGTGCACGGTCCGTGTCGCAGAGAAAGCTGTGCTATGCAATGCCAATAGGTAACATGCTGCAAGGCAAGCATTCTATGAGATGGGGATGTAATCAATCAAGATGACAACCAGCACGACTTGGGACCTTAACAGGAAATGTGACAAGCACTATTTGGTCCTGGGCCCATCTTTGTAGATTGAGCCTTATTAATAAAAAAATAAAAAATACTGGTAACCTAAGGCTGAACTGCTGTCTCTGTTATGGACCAACACATAAACACATAGACAAGGACAAACACACAGATCAAGGGACTGACAGGAGGAGATATCCTCTGATTGCTACCATGGCAACCATTTTATAATCCACTTCTCAGTTCTGATTTCAGGGGGAAAAGAGCAGGGGTTCCTGGTGATGTTTAATGGGACCATGGTCAAATTGCTGTCCTTTAGGCTTAATTAAAGAGCCAAAGAATGCTGTGGTAACTAATTCCTGAGTGCAGCAGTACAGGGTGAGGCTAGTGATAATTATACAAAGTAGGCAGGCAGCAAAACCTTCTTTAATTAGATCATTACTCTAAAAAGAAACTGAGTCTCAAGGATAGACATAATGAAACTTAAAGAGAGGTGAAAGCTAAACAGAGAGAGAGAGGAGGATCTAATTGAGAAAAAGGAACAATATCAAAGATGAGTATGACAACATGAGATGAACAAAAATAAAAATGACCCATCCCAATCAAACTTGCTTTCTTTGACTATTTATCTATTGCATTAAAACAATTCTTGGGGATTCCATTTATTTAAAGACTCAAAGTCATCAAAAACTTTTTTTTATGTATTTAAATCTTTTCTAAACATCC